TTTTTGCAGCTTTCCTCAGCTTTCATTTCTGTTTTTTTTTTCTTTTATCTAATGCATTCCTAAAGAACAGCAAGTCCCAAAAAAGAAACTTTTTGATAGAAAAAAAATCTGGTCATTATTTCAGATTACCGGAGCACAAACTAAATCACAGTACCCATATCCTAGCAGCTTCTAAATGATATCCCAAATGACGGTAATTGATTTTATTGATTAAACAAGGAAATAGCCATGAAATTCAATGGCGAACAGGACTTGGGACAAACAAATAAAGGCTGAAACTATGTATGCAACAAGAATACACCCAATAAAAATTTCCTCCAGATTAACATAGCAACTAAGAAACAAAAGAAACGAAAGAAAGAAAGAAAAAAAAAAACAGATGCAGAAAACTAAGATTCAAGATCCAAAATTTTCCATATTCTCAAGAAAACACACCTGAAAAGGAGAAAACCAATTTATTTATTTGCTGCAAACTTCAAAATACAAGATTTCTTCTTCTTTTGCTTCACAGTATTTGCCGGCTCCCAGATTTTTCCTTCTTCTCCCCTTGATTTTTCTCCCAATTTTGACCTCCAACTCTCCTCCCTCAAAAGCCGAAGGTGCCCCCCCTTTTATACAGAAATAGAGGGGACTCCAATCCTTTTTCTAATTCTAAATTCTAATCCCAATCCCCAAAATTACAGATAATAATCTAATCCTATTTGACATTGGAATCCTAAAATTAATCTAGTCTTTGCACATCTTCCCTCTTTTAAGGCTAGATTCATACCTTTAAAATATCAAGACTCCCAATTTGAATCGACTCCAAAAATCTTCTGTGACTCTTGATAAGGACTTCAAATCCGAAAATCTCTTCTTGTGTTGTTGTGGTCTATCCAAACTTTGAATGGATTTAGAGATAAATCAAGAAGAATTTTGTGAAATTTTGGAGGGGGTCGGTAGCAAAAGGAAGAAACGAGATTTTTTGGGAAGCTAGGGTTTGACAGAACCTTGGGCTTTATTTTTATTTCAACTTACAAGCAAAACAACGTTGTTTTGCTAGTTCTTCATCTCAGCCCTTCAAGCTTTACACTTTTTGTGAAATGGTCCACAAACTTTTACTTTTCTCACTTAGCCCCAATTAAAATTGGGTTATGACAGTGAATTATGGAACAGACCTAAGCCTGCTGGTGTAAGTTTTCGGCAAATATCTGAGGAGAAAAAAGAGTGGCTAGAAAGACCATTTTCAACTGAAGAGATTGAAGAAGGGTTGAGATGTTGTGAAAGGACTAAAGCACCTAGTCCGGATGGCTATAATTTCAACTTCCTCAAGTTTGCCTGGAACATTTTAAAGGAGGACTTCGTGAGCTTCTTTAATGAATTTCATCGGAATGGTAGGTTAGTAAGAGGTTTAAATTCTTCTTTTTTGACTCTGATTCCTAAGAAGCATAACCCTACAGAATTGAAGGATTATCGTCCTATTAGTCTAATTGGGTGTGTATATAAGTTATTGGCTAAGGTGTTAGCTAATAGACTCAAGGCTGTGATGTCGGAGATAATTAGCGAGACTCAATCTACTTTTTTAGGGGGTCGTCAATTGGCGGATAGTGTGTTAGCTTTAAATGAAGTTGTGGATGAAATTAAGAAGAGCAAACAAAAGGCTTTTGTTTTCAAAGCTGATTTTGCGAAAGCATATGATTGTGTTGATTGGGCATTTTTGGATTGGATGATGGGAAGGTTTGGGTTTGGGTCTAGGTGGAGAGGATGGATTATGGAGTGCTTATCAATCGCAAAGGTTTCAGTCTTAGTTAATGGCAGTTCGACTGAGGAGTTTGAGATTGGAAAAGGATTACGGCAGGGTGACCCATTGTCTCCTTTTCTGTTTTTGATGGTTGGTGAGGGTTTACATGGGTTGCTTCGAAAATCAGAGTCGGAGGGGTTGTTTAGGGGTGTTGAAATTGGGAAGAGGGGTCTGGTTGTATCTTTGCTTTAGTTTGCCGATGATACAGTGATTTTGGGTAAAGCTGATGGGGAGAATGTTTTTATGGTTAAAACTGTGTTATGATGGTTTGAGTTGATGTCGGGGTTGCGGATTAATTTTGGTAAAAGCAATGTTTATGGCTTTAATGTATCGACAAGGTGGTTGAATGGGATGGCTTGTTCTTTACGGTGTGGTGTTGGGAAAACACCTTTTTTGTATTTGGGTCTACCTGTTGGTGGTAAATTTGGAAGCAAAAAACTGTGGGAACCAGTGGTAAATAAGTTTCGTGCCAAACTTGCCATCTGGAAGTCTGCCTCGTTGTCTTTTGGCGGCCGCATCACTTTGCTCAATTCGGTACTCTCTGCTTTACCCATTTTTTACATGTCTCTATTTTTAATACCTAGTTCTGTGGTTTCTGAATTGGTTAAAATCCAAAGGGGGTTTCTGTGGGGTGGGGTTGAATTGAATAGGAAAATTCCATGGGTTAAGTGGGATATTGTTTGTGGCAATAAGGCGCAGGGAGGTTTAGGGGTGTCGGATTTGCGAAGGAAAAATTGGGCATTATTAGGGAAGTGGTGGTTTCGGTTTGGTGATGGTGTGGGGGGTTTGTGGAAGCGGGTAGTGAGGGATAAATATTATGAGGGTCGGTGTGAGGTGGATATAACAGTAATTGATAATTTAAAAGTGTCAAAGCTGTGGAAGGATATTATTAGTATTGGGGGGAAATCAGTTAGACTGAGGAATATGTTGGGGAATGGGTTTAGAGGGGAGGTGGGGTGTGGAAGTAGGATGGGTTTTTGGAGGGAGAAATGGGTGGGAGATAAATCCTTAAGGGACTTATGTCCCAGATTGTATGCCTTGGCTACGAATAAGGAAGGCTCGGTTAGTGATATGGGTCAATGGGAAGGTGATAGGTGGCAGTGGAATATGGCATGGAGAAAGGGGAGAATGGGGCGAAAGAAGGATGAGGAGGAGGTTTTGTGGGGGGTTGTGGATTGTGTGCACTTAAAGAAAGGCAAGGAGGATGTTTGGACTTGGGAACATGATCCAGGAGGCAAAATGTTCGGTGAGGACAGCTTATGAATTTTTATCTCCTGAGGAGTGTCATCTTGATACCCAATTTTGCAGGCTTATTTGGTGCAGGCTAGTGCCTTTGAAAGTTAGCTGTTTTGGGTGGAGGTTATGTCTTGATCGGCTGCCAACAAAATGGAATTTACAAAAAAAGGGTGTGGTGTTGCAGCAAGAGGGATCTTTTCGCGGTTTGTGTCATGAGGTGGTGGAGGAGGTTGATCATTTATTTTGTACTTGCAGGGAAGCTTGGTTAGTTTGGGTTAAGGTGCTGAATTGGTGGGGCATTGAAACTGTCATGCTGAATACTGTTAGGGGAGTGGCAGAATTTTTCTTGTTTTGATTTGGGTAGAATTATAGGGAAGGAGTTGGGTGCATGTGTTTTTCTTGTTGCTGCATGGTATCTTTGGTATTGGAGGAATGCTTGTGTATTTAAGAATCATGGGAGTATGCAGGAGTGTTTGTTGGATAAGGTACAAATGAAGTCTTTTTTTTGGATTAAAAATAAGGTAGATGGATGTGCTTTTTCTTTGTATGAGTGGCAGCTGAATCCAATTGATTGTGCCTTAGCTATTAAACGGTATAAGAGGATGTTGAAGAGTTTCCAAAAGCAGCATCAACGTTTACCATGAGTTCTTCATGTAGGCATTCATGAGTTGCTATTTCCGGTCAGCTTTGCTATTTTTGGCTGATTGGTTTGTTCTGCTAATGCCAATAATAGGATTTTAACTTTGTATATGGGTTGGAGTACTCCTTGTACTCCCTCAAATAATATATTTCTCTTTGTTTTGCTGATAAAAAATATATATATAATTTAATAGAGATACACCATCAAGATAAAGTTAACATTACGAAGAAGAAGAAAAAGGTACACGTATTTATAGAACGCACAAAAATGTTTCTTATAACAGTCACAAAAAATAATCTACAATTTTGCAAAATGTTTCGACAGTAAGATGAAAACCATAGTATATAATTAAGTAGACTTTCAAAGTCTAAAAGCAGATCAATCATAATGTTCATCAACTACAACATTATCCAACTTAACCTGCGGGTGGGCCTCCACATGATAGAGGAGGGAATAAGGAACTAGAATTTCTGTCTTCGGTTGTTGCCGAAGCACACGCCCAGAAAGATAAAAAAAAAGTTATGAAATCAAGCGTGTTTTCAGGAAGTACATTAATTTTATTCTTTTGAAATGATTGGTATACGACCCATCAATATATATTTAGAGATTGACACTTTTGGTCATAAGTGAGTTCAGGGTTAGTACAAAATGTTGTTGTATTTTTTATCTATAGTTTTGATTTTTTTTTTTTTCTTAATTTTTAGAGTTTAATTGATAAACACTAATTTTTTAAGATAATATTGTGAATAAAATAAAAATTAAGGATTAAAATCTTAAAATAAAAAGTTCGCGGCTTAGTACATCAATTAAGAAAGCTCAGACATACGAGTTGGTAGAAAACAGTGCTGCGTTTCCACCATTTTCAAAACACAACACTTTTTTTCGGCTTTCTTCATTGGGTTGGTACAAAATGACGTTGCCTTTCAAACTTTAGTTTTGACTGATTTTCTTCGTAATTTTTAGAGTTTAATTATAAATAATAATATCATAATATTATGAATGAAATAAAAATTAAGGATTAAAATCCTAAAATAAAATGTATGTGGCATAGTACATCAATTAAGAAAGTCGAGACATGTGGGTTGGTAGAAAACAGGGTTGCGTTTCCACCATTTTCAAAACGCAACGCCTTTTTGCGACTTTTTTTGATTGGGTTGGTACAAAATGCTGTTGCGTTTCCACCTTTAATTTTCAACTTTCTGAATTGGATTAATTCATAGATTAAGAAAGTTGGGACATATATTATATATAATATGGAGATAGGCATTCAATTGGATTAGGACATCAATTGACCAAAATAATTAACTCCATTAAGTTTGGTAGTAATCTTTATTAAAGCGAGGTGGTTGGCAGTTAGCTTCCAAGTTCTATCTAAGATGCATGTTTTAACAGGATTGAGCAGCAAAGCAAAGCA